TGTATCACAATGTGCGTGTGTTACAATTCGAAAAAGAGAATCCTATAAACATGAAGAAGCTAGATGTTTATAACAAACTTGTCTGTAAATTATCATCACAGCAAATTTCTAGAAATTATTTGTTAGTAATGGGATAGAAAAAAATTGCCAACAGGGGGCAAAACATAAGTTTCATATGATGACAACGCATGTATTCAAATCGAGATGCGTTCTGACAATTAATAAAGAGACTTTGAAAAGTAATCGTCAATTTTACAGGAAATAATCACTAAAAACAATATTCTAATAACGTATTAGCAAAAATATACAATGTATGATTATATAAATAACTATAAAGGGAAATTGAAATTCGTAAAATGGAAAATATAAATGCAGTAACAGTAATTTCCGTTATTTGAATTTATCCACGTGCAGTATATATAGCCTACATAGAAGCTTTACGGCTTAGTTACAGATATATTACTTTAACTATTTATGGCATATGTAGCCCTTTTAGCGTTAGCTTACTGCATAAAAATTTGCCATATAAATCTGGACCGATGTAGAGGTCGGGACTGGTTCTAGGATAGAACTCAACCGGAGGCTATGTCACACGAGGGTCCAGGTCTATCTAAACTAGGTATGTTAAAAAGTCGAGTTCCGGTCCTGAACTAGTTAGGAACTAGTTCACGACTCCTGTCTGAAACCGGTCTAACCAGTGTCTAACCCCAGCGGTTTAATATATAAGTATATAATTTTTTAAATCTTTTGAAACTTAAAATAAAAAAAAAGAACGCATATAATGTATACATTTAGATTTTAGAAATTTCAAGGTTACTTTTTGCTAACCCTGAATCGTACCAATTTTTAGGCAGAGATTTGCCATATCTTTTCGTTCTCTAACCGGTTCCTCATTGCGCTTAGAGTATGCTTCGCTACTGAGAAGGCCTGTTCGCTTGGGACTTGTTGCCTGCACAACAAGATAGTTGCGGGCCATTTTAACAAAAGGCATTAACAATAAGCATACAGACTTTGATTTTCAATATGAAAGGGTATCTACAACTTCTTCAGGAGCGTGCAAGTGTTCGTCTAACACATTAAAACTCATTAACATATCATTATAGGTTTATTTTAACTGGGTTCGAAAGTAGTGGTGAGCTGACATTAGCTAATTAGATTCTAAATATGCTCCGTGGAACCTTTAACAAGTAGAGTGTAATGTTGGTATATTTTGTTAAATATCTGACATACTACATGTTTTTTTGAATTAGAGCTAAAGGTTAAAATTTTAGATGATAGCTTTAGCAACACTACTTCTGGAAAAACAAACTGTAATTCATCCTAATAATTATCAAATTTTTCAAGAATTTTTTATGAAATATGTGATTTTACTAAATTTTTTTCATTTTTAGCTTTATTGAGCTTTGTAATGATTACAAAAATAGCTATAGATATAACTTCAATAGTTGGATTGCTTGATGAAAAAAGTAATATAGTAACTTTATAAAAGGTTCTAGCAATTCAATTACTGCTTTAATATTATTTTAGTTTTGATTAGATAACTTCAGGTATTTAAATTGTAGTATTAAAGCTATTAGTATTTCTGTTAATTCTTAGATTCTACATAGTTTAATTAATCTAATGTTTAGTAATAAGTATTTATAAATTAGTATTTTTATAAAATTTAATTCTACTAATTAATTTATAAATTATTTTAATACTTATATACTATTCAAAGAATAATTGGGTAATTAATTGTAAATAAGTATTTAAGAATAAATATTTATGAATAAGTATTTGTAATCATAATTTTAATTTTAATTAATAATATTAATTAATCATCTTTATATTTATATACTATTTAAGAGATATTAGATAATTAATTTAAGTGCTCAAAGATAAGAATTTATAAAAAAATATTTGTTTATAAATTTAATTCTACTAATAAATAATCCAAAAATTTATATACTATTCAAAGTAAATAATTGTAAATAAGAGTTTAAAAATAAGTATTTATATTTATAATTTTAATTCTAATAATTACTTACAAATATTTTTTTTTAAACTTGTCTATTATTTTATTAAAGAAAAATTTATAAAATTACAAAACAACGATTTACATCATTATAATAATAGACTTAGTTTTAAAGAAGTAAAAGTACTAGAAGCTCTTCATAAAAATACTACTTTAACTTATTTAGAGATAAGTTAGTAATGAACTTGGATTTGAAGAAATGAAAGCATTAAAGTGTTCTCTGCAAAAATAAAAGTTTAGCTTATTTAAATATTCGTGGAAATGGACTAAAGCATTAATAGTAACTCCTAGCACTTTATTTAGATATCAAAGGTTAATAACTTGGTTTTGAAAAGGCAAAAGTGTTAGTTGAGATTCTTTGCAAAAAATAACTTTATTATTCTTTATAATAATACTACATAAATCTCATTATAATAATTTTAGCGATTACTAGTATTCAGAATAGATTATTTAAACAATCTTGACTTTTTATAAATTAAAAATACAAAATAATGTAATTCCTTTTTTTAAAAAAAAATTATTTATGTATAATTAATGTTAGGAATATTTTATTAGAAGAATATTAATAATGAACAAACTTGAAATTAACTTTAAAAACGAGCAAAATAACTTGTAAACATGGTATATATAAAGCGTATTTTATTTAGATGTTTATAATAATAAAAAAAAAATACCGAATTTCAATTATATATTATATATATAATTCCCAAAAGATAATAATAAATCCAACATTATACATATTAATACCACACTTTTTACAATGTCATGCGCATTTTTCTAAACTTTCAACTATATTTTTACCAAGCAAAGATCCAGGTCGTCCAATCACCAAATAATTTCCAACCACACTATTTTTACCAGTTACTAAAGGAGTCTCAAAAATAAATAAAAAGAAATCAGTAGAACCATTAGGACGAATTTTAAATAATTTATCAAAAGTATCATCATCAGGTTTTAAATCTATAATTTCTGAAGTTTCATTATAAACTTTAAATGTATACTCTTTTTCATCACCTTCTGAAAATCCACTACTGAATTGACCAGCTACTAAAGTCTTATTTTTTGATGTTTCCCAAAAAACAATTGTGCCATTTGTTACATCAGGTGGACTAGTAAATTTTACATAGGCTCGTTTTGGTTTTGGTGTCGGTATAGGATACGGTAAACGTGGTGGATGTTTATGGGATACGGAAATGAAATGATCCAATAACAAAATGGTAGAATCCTTAGATTCGGAGTCTTGAAGGTTGAGTAATGGAGTGCAGAACACGTAAATCGGAACGTAAAGTAATAATAGAGTAACTAAGAAAATAATTGATGTGTGATTCTTTGACATTTTTACAAAATCAACTGTTAGTTAATAAATGAATTTTTTAATTCAAATTAATAACGATAAAAAAAAATTTTTTGATTATTTTTTGAAATCTTTTATACTTTTATGAACGATGATGTCTTAAAATTATTCTCACGCTAATTCGTAAAAATATCACATAATTGGCTATAATTGTAAATCCTTTTTCACTCGGCGTAAATATTTAATTGGAAAGTTCATGATATGCATCATGTAATGTGGCGTACTAAAAGAAATTAGGATAATTTCAAATTACGTATAATAACCTAAAGACAAGTTTTTTCAGGTATTTAAATTTATCGTAAACTAACTCAACCAGTAATATAACTCGCTATTTGTATACTGGTAATAAAGGCTTTTTTTTTAAGCCAAAAGTGCTAGCAGCTTTTTAATGAAAAGCTTAATAATATGTTAAAAATCAATAGAATATAAATTATTGAAGCGTAGAAGTTCCTTAATAGTGAAAGTCAACTCAGAATTTCAAAATTTGTTAAAATTATAACCGGTTATTAACCGCCGGCTAATAACCGGTTATGATTTAACAAATTTTGAAATTCCAGAGAAGGTATCGTTCTTTCCACTTATAATATGGGATGTACAGTATATAATTCTGAACAACTTTAATTAAAAACTCAAAAATAAAAAATCATCTCAATTTCTAGAAAATTGACTATGAAAATCGTAGCCGATCGTAACCGTTGCCATCCCTAATTGTCAACTAAACGATTTATCGATTTTAATCAATTATTTTATTATAAGTTGACAAAATTTTTCAATCGATAAATTATTTTTTTAAAAAATTTCCAATCGATTAGTTGGTTTAGTTGACAACTAATCGATTTTTCGATTTTCGATTTGTATCACTATCCGAAATTCGTTAATCCGGATATCCACTTCACAATCTGATCCTGTGCGGATAACAGATAATCCGTTTGAGAGGTAATTGGGGGTGAGAATCGATTCTAAAAATTAAAATCGATGATCGAAACCTCAAAATCGTTTTAGAATAGATGATCGAATTTTAAACTTTATAATTATTTCTTGTATTTGAGTTGCCCGTTTAGATTCTGTTTTTTATTATTTAACACTTTAAGTTATTTAGTTATATAAATAATATGAAGCAATATACAAAGTTTTTTTATTGCGTTAAAGCTATATCAAAACTCAACTTAGTTAAATAGAATTCTCAGTATTTTATAACAGGATTTTGTGCCCTAAAACAGACTATATAAATAATAATTTATGTTAAATTTATAAATTTAATTTAAATTTTTTTAAAAAAATATATAAAAAACAAATTGTAGAAAAAAAAGCAATTGCTAAAAAAAAACCTTCACTCTAAAGTAAATGATTATGAATATATAAAAATTAATTATTATCAGTAGTAATTTTTAAAATAAATACCTTATAGACAATATAAAATTATATTTACTATATTTATATAATGATTTATTGGTTATCCAATTTGTCTTGCATTGAATATTTATATAATCCTTATTTCTTTTAAAAACATTAATTCTTTTACTAAATTAAAATTTAATAATTCTAAATAGATAATATAAAACGATTAAATCATTTATCCAGAAATGATAATTAATTCTAATTCGATTGACGATTAAAACGATTATTATAGAATCGATTCTCACCCCTATATACTAGAACGTATAAGAAAAAAGAGTATAATACAGTACATTATTCGGATACCAAATCCAAAAACTATAGGCTTAAAATTAATAAACAACATATAGCCATCAAGAAAATTAAGCGTAACAATCTTAAACATTTACAGTAACTTGCAAAATAAGATGGCTAAGCACAAACTAAAGGCTAGGCTATATGACTCAAAGTTGAAAAAAGAACTATTTATAAAATAAATAAAATAACTTAAAATAAGTGAAAGTTCGTTATAATTAAAATGATTATATTCGATTCTAATTCAAGAATATGTAATCGTTTCTAGAAACGATTACGTATGTAGGCTATATATACTGCACGTGGATAAATTCAAATAACGGTTACTGCATTTATATTTTCCATTTTACGAATTTCAATTTCCCTTTATTGTTATTTATATAATCATACATTATATATTTTTGCTAATACGTTATTTAGAATATTGTTTTTAGTGATTATTTCCTGTAAAATTGACGATTACTTTTCAAAGTCTCTTTGTTGATTGTCAGAACACATCTCGATTTGAATACATGCGTTGTCACCATATGAAACTTATGTTTTGCCCCCTATTGGCAATTTTTTCTATCTCATTATAACAAATCATTTCTAGAAATTTGCTGTGATGATAATTTACAGACAAATTTGTTATAAACATCTAGCTTCTTCATGTTTATAGGATTCTCTTTTTCGAATTGTAACACACGCACATTGTGATACA